GTGTAATTATGTTTGTTTAAAATAATTAACCTCAAGAGGGGTTAGTGTAATTGGTGAAACCTAGAGACCAATGAAATTGTCAGAAACCTCAAAGAAGGTTTTTGAAGTTATCCCTAAATTAATCTGTAACATTTAATACTATAAAAAAAATTCTTCTCCCAATATTTCCTTCTATATTCTTATATTTACAATTTTAATTCCAATAAGGTTCCACCATCCTGATTAACTACGTACTTTGTAAATCCCATACCAATGAAAGTTACTCCAAATATATTCTACTTGTGCGAAAACCTATGCTGTGCACAATCAAAAAATAATAATAGAAAAATACTTGTAGGAATATAAAACATGGAGAAAATGGCCTTAATTTAATCCAATGAGTGGTTGCTAAAAACATATATTAGCAAAGGATTTAGTTGTCTTAAATCATTATAAACATGCATTACAAAATAATAGCGGGATAACATATTGAAGAAAACATCATTTAAAAATATAATAGATCTAAAAATATCAAAGTTATATTTAATAAAGTGGCGCTCCTCTTTTTCCAACCATCATGTCTAAGCTTAAGAAAAGTAACGCTAGTATTCAATTCGTAACATATATGCTTTTCAAGATCAATGCTAGTTTTGTGGATGTAATTTACCAAGTTAATGTGTAATTAGTTGCAGTATAAATATGGACTCCATGAAAAAAAAACGGCATGTAGCAAAATCTAAGCTAATTAAATTACTACTTGAATAGCCCACGTAAAAAGTAGATATCACTAACTTGATGCGTATTTTTGAGAAACTATGATATGGTATATGAATAATTGATTGTGCAGACAATAAGTAGATATCATTCTTTTATACATTCAATTGAAATTTTACATAGTAAATGAAGAAACAGTTAAGAGGTTGAGAGTTAAATGTGACTTTTCCGTTGATGTTTGACACGCTAAGCAATACTTATCACTTTCAATGGAAGTAAAGGAAATGCATCTGTAAATTAATATTCTCATACACTATATTAACTATTTTTTAGCTCGTATAAATTGAAGTTTTTAATTTATCTTACATTGAAGTTATGTATATAAAGATTAACAAAATATACCTCACATATTCAAGATCCAAAATCAGGAATTTATACTTTAGTGATGCACTTTATATTAGCAAAAACAATTCTTAATATTAGATTTTAAAGATTGAATTGCTCATTGAGAGGGTTAACTGGATCTACACTGGATATTAGTTGCTTGACGAAAATCTTCAAATGCATTTGCTAATTTAGCGTTATGGAAAAAAATGAACCTTTGAATGATTATTTTAGGAATACTTTTATAGGGATGGTATTGTTACAGAAGGTTTGGTCTAAAAGCATGTCATTGATATTTTTGAAACTCTAAAGTGCTAGGTGACATTAATAAAAACTTCAAGGGAGTTTTTTGAAATTATTCCTTCAAATTTTGGAAAGAAGGAACTATCCACTCTGCTCCTAAATTATTTCCATTGCACTCTTTTGATCCCTCAATAATACATTGTTGCAAACAAGCCATTCAACAAGAAAAAAAAATCACATTTAAAAACATTCGTCAAATTTAATTGGTAGTGCTGACAGAATAATACTTTTAGCTCTTCCGGCCATTCTAGCCGACAGAATAATATCACGTTTAAAATTGTATAAAAAATTCTTAAACTATTTCAGTTGTTAAGTTTCAGCCCCTAATATAAATTTTGTCTTAAAATAGCCCTTGAACAATTATAAGTGTATACGTTCAACTCTTCCGACCATTTTAGCTGTAACTGTAGTGTAACCAAAGTGTATTTTTGTATAAGCACTTAATATAACCATCAAGACCAGAATCAGGAGGGTTATAAAGAAGAATACACTTCATTGCAAAATAATGAAGTGTATTCTTCTTCTTAACCTTTCTGATTCTAGTCCCGATGGTCGTATTAAGTGATTGGATACAAATGTTCTTTGGTTCCGACTGCACTTAGGGTTAAAATGGTGAAAGGATTGAAACTATACACTTTTAATTATTTAAGAGCTACTATGAAACAAAATTTAAATTAGGGATCAAAACTTGCGCAACGTAACTAATTTAAAGGCTCCATAAATACTTTACTATTAAGAAATTCTTGTGTTAGGTCAATTTTACCTCTCATTCAGTCAGCATTAATGACTAAATTTGACAAAAGTGCTCAAACATGATTTTTTTTTTTTTTTTAGTTGCGGGACTTATTTACCTTAATATAAGGGATCAAAAGAGTGCAATGAGAATAGTTTAGGAGCCGAACGAATAGTTTCCTCTTCTACAAAAGGCTCTCGTATGAATAACTCACACGAGGTACATCAAAATGTGTAGGAATTACATAAAAGCGTAGTAAATTTACATGTGCGAAATAATGTTTCTTTTCGTTGGTAAGTATCTGTTAAACATGTTGTACATCATTCGAAACGGTTGCAAGCCTTGCGACTGATAATTGTCCATTCCTCTTATCTGCAGGAAGCCCACACAATTAGTCGATTGTACTCTCTCCGTCCCATTTTGATAGTCCTGTTATTCTTTTTCATCTGTTTCAAATTGTAGTCAACTTTTCAATTGAAAAATATAGTTATTTTTAATTTCTCCAAAATACCCTTAATCAATGTAGGTTGTTATTAGTATAAATTATCTTATTTAATATAGATTGTTAACCTACCACATTTAATACATTTAGATTTAATGTGAAATAATGTAAAATGAAGATTGATCCTTTCTTGACCATCAATTCAAGTTCCCATAAATCATCAATTCAAGTTTCTATGAATAATTAATATAAAGTTGTACTCTATTTAATGTAAGGGTATTTTAAAAAAATAGGAACCTAAATTTGTTTTTCCAATAAAATTAACTACTTTTTTTTAAATTGTGTGAAAAAAACTAGAACTATCAAAATGGGACAAAGGAAGTAGCTAATTGCAAAGATAATCAAAAATTAAAAAGGAGAATAGTAAAAGCAAGTAAAAATTTCAGCCGAGGCCTTAAAAGGTTGCGCGTGCCACGTTACATTGCACTGATGGTCAGCGCATTCAGTTTACGTATTATTACAAATATGAAATTCTAACTTTTGGATTGATAAAAAAAAGTAAGAATAAATTTTATATACACTATCACGATTAGATGGATGACATATAAATAATTTTGAATTTTAAATTCAAATTTTGCACATGTGTTATATTTCTATTGATGATAGTATATATGCTGACAGTGTATATAAGATTAATCCAAAAAGTAAAGGAATAAGTCCAAGATTCATGCCAAAAAGATACTCGGTTGTTTACCACTCTCTGTCTCACTTTTTATTTTATTATTATAATATTATTTCTCCTTTTATAGACATCATGTTTTAATTCTTTTTTGTTTCCTTAAAATCTAATAACTATTAGTTGAATAATATAAAAAATTTAACAAACTCAAAAAATCAAAATACACACAAAAAAAAGGATTTTTATGAATTTTCTGCTCTATTTTTTGATTTTCTATTATACATTTCTTTTTTAACTCACAAATTCAGAATACACCAAAAAAAAAAAAGATTTTTATGAATTTTTTGTTGTATTTTTTGATTTTTTATTTTATAGAATACATTTCTTCTTTAACTCACAAAATCAGAATACATTTCTGCAGTAGGGTACTTGTCCCAACTAGAAGCGAAAAAGTTGTTTCAATCATGCAAGCATCTTTCACTTACCAATTAGGAATACTTTCTGATGAAGGTAGCTGGAAATTGTTTCAGAAAATAGCATTTGGTCATGGTGGAGCAGTAAAGACTCATGAATTAGGGGACGACATAGGAAGAAGAATTGTAGCAGAGTTGTGGTGGTGCACCATTCACAGTAAAGGCAATAGGAAGTTTGATGTACTCAAAAAAAAGATGAACATGAGTTGTCAGAAATTACAAAGAGTCGAACTTTTCCTGATGCTGGAAATAGAATCAAATCTGCTATAAAGTTAGCTACGATAATTTGCCTTCATTGACACTCAAACAATGTCTTGCTTGCTGTACTTTTCTTGAAAAGGTTTCTAAAAGTGTTAGGATTGGAAAATTTGACACAACTTTGGATGGCGCAGGGTTTATCTAATCCTTCCAAGGATGTAGGGGGTGACTACATTAATATTTTGCTCCGGAGTTCTTTGCTGCAAGTTGCTAGGAAGGATACTCGAGTATCGAAAACTACGCATTCAAAGTTGCACGACATTGTGTGCAATTTTTATTTTCAGGAGTAGCCATGGACGGTTTCTTGGTTTCCTTGGATGAACTATAAGTGGCAGGAAAATTCTTTCAAAGCAGCGAAATTTGGTTTTAGTTCTTGCATACTCTTGCATTACTTCTTGTAACTGTTCCCAGAAAAAGAAAAGAAGAAGAAGTAAAAAAAAGGGATAGGAATAGGATTTTCTTCTTGTAACAAATCTTTCGTGTTATATTCTGTATGACAGATTATACACATGTAATTGAAATTTAACCAAATAAAGTTGATTGAGTTGTTTATGAATAAAAAAAAAACGCTGTTGTTTATCTCTCACAACCGAAGTAATCCTCACACTTTTGAGGTCTCAAGATAGCTCTTGATTCTCTACTAGGATCATGAATGTGATTCAAGTTGTGACATTGAGATCATCTTTATGGCTGAATATAGCCCATAAGGGGCTGCAAGCATAATACCTTGCGTGTGATTGGCTTCAACTTCATCCTTTGCTTGGATGCTACCGTGTTCCATTCTATTCTTTAACTTTCTTTCATTCCTTACTTCTTCCTTTTGCAAGTCTTTTCGTTCATCTCTTCCCCTTCTTTACTTCCTATTTTTCACATGGTTCAGCTACAAATGTTGGAGGAACTTATAATAACACTCTGTCCCCATTTCACTTACTTCTTTCAGTCCCCCTCCTCAAAAGGCTATTGACTTCTATGTTCTTTGCTAATATCACACAGATTAGCGAGCAATTCTTCCTCTTGTAGGAATACAAAAGTGAGATGGCTGATGTTTTGCTTAATCTTGTTATAGAGGGAGTTCTGAATAAGTTAATTTCACTTGTGGCTGAAGAGATCAACATAGTGTGGGGTGTCAAGGAAGATCTTGAAAGTTTAGCTCGAAATCTGGAGATGATTCAAGCTTTGCTGGTTGATGCGGAATGCCAACATACCAGTAAAGAAGCCGTTGATCTTTGGCTTAAATGGCTCCGGGATGTGTCGTCCAAGGCTGAGTACTTGCTGGACGAGCTTGCATATGAAGTTCTTCGCAACAAGTTGAAGAAGCGCAAGCAAGACCAGGTTTGTAGCTTCTTTTCTTGTCCATATCCGCTCGCATTCCGTTTCAAATTTGCTCACAAGATTAAGAACATGAACTTGAGTATAGAGAAAGTTTATCAGGAAGCAAAAAGGATTGGACTTAGTCCTGTCGAGATAGGTAACATGTCTAACAATCCCAGAAGTGACCCATCTAGTACTACTCATCCTTTTGTTGATGATTCCAGTATTGTGGGAAGGAGTGAGGAAGTGAACGAGATTGTAAAATTGTTAACTTCTTCAGAGAAGGATGGTAATAAATTATCAGTTATTGGTATAGTTGGCATGGCTGGTTTGGGCAAGACAACTACTGCTCAGCTAGTCTACAAAAATGAAAAGGTGCTGAGGCATTTTGATCACAAATTGTGGATCCACGTGTCAGAAGATTTCAATGTTGAAAGACTCTTAAATAAGATGGTAGAGTCTCTTACAGGAACCAACCCTAATCTGACAGTTGCAGAGGCAATTGTAAGAAAGCTTAACGAGGTACTTAAAACCAAAAGATTCTTGCTTGTACTGGATGATGTTTGGAATGAAGATGCAGAGAAATGGGATAGAATGAGGAAGTGTCTGCGAGGGATAGGTGGATCGGACGAAAGCAGGATAATCGTGACAACTCGAAACGAGACAGTTGTTTCAATCATGCAAGCATCTTTTACCTGTCAATTGGGAACACTTTCTGATGATGATAGCTGGGAATTGTTTGAGAAAATAGCATTTGATCACGGTTGTGCAGCAGTAAAGACTCCTGAATTGATAAATATAGGAAGAAAAATTGTTGCTAAGTGCGGTGGTGTGCCATTGGCAGTAACGGCAATAGGAGGTTTGTTGTACTCCAAAGAGGATGAACGTGAGTGGTCAAGAATAGAAAATAGTGAAACCTGGGCTACAATGGAAGAAGCTGGAAGAAGAGTCAGATCCGCTATAAAGTTAAGCTACGATCATTTGCCTTTATTGTCGTTGAAACAATGTCTTTCATATTGTACTATAATGAGAAAGGGTGAGGTTGCAACAGTGGAAAACATGATACAACTTTGGATGGCACAGGGATTGCTTAATCCTTCAAGGGAAGTCACCTGGAAATGGAGGATGTTGGAAGTAACTACATGAGTATTTTGTTCCGGACTTCTTTGTTGCAAGTTTCCAAGAAGGATAGGTTTGGAAGAACTATAAAATTCACTATTCACGATCTTGTGTATGACTTTGTTAAAGAAGCAGCTAAAGAGTCCATTTTCTTTGTTCCCTCGGCTGAACTTAGAGCCGGTAAGGAAAGTCTTTTAAAGCCGCGAACTTTGATTTTGAGCGATGACCTTGCACATGATTTGCCGATCGTTTGTAAAAGCCTTCGAGTCTTAGTTCTTGAAGATGAAGATGTTAAGGAATTGCCAGCCACGATTGGAAAGTTGAAGCTTTTAAGATATCTTGACATCTCCAGGACTTCAATAACAGAGCTCCCAAATCCCATCACACGGTTGTACAATTTGCAAACAATGAAACTCAGTAATCTGCAACAGCTTCCCAAAAATTTTGGAAATTTGGCTAACCTGAGGCATTTGTGCATTGAAGAAGATGGAATCATCAACGGCAAGCCATGTTTGCTTCCTGATATAGGGCAATTGAGCTCTCTTCAGACGTTGCCTTTCTTCTTTGTAAGTCGAGATAAGGGATGTCAAATTGATCAGTTGGGGCATTTGCACAATCTCAGGGGCGACCTCAAGATCTTTGATCTCCAGAATGTTAGCAACCAAGAGGAAGGAATCAAGGCAAAAATATCCACAAAGATAAACCTTGATAGTTTGGAACTTCACTGGGATACTAGGACCAGAGACGAATCCACTGATGAGGATGTCTTGAAAGGTCTTGAACCTCACCCAAATTTGAAAGGTTTCACAATGGAAAACTTTATGGGCCGAAGCCTTCCATCGTGGATGCTGACCACAAGCCATCCTTTGGCCTTTCGCAATCTTGTGAAGATCGTGCTGAGGAACTTCAACAAGTGTCAGCAAATTCCACCACTTGGGCACCTCCCTCACCTCAATATTGTCAACATAATTGGAATGAAAAGTGTAAATTGCATCGGCACTGATTTCTTCGGTTGGAAAAATGTTGATGATGCAAGTAGTAGCAATCCAAGTGGCCTAGCAGGGGATGCTGTGGTTTCATTTCCGGCACTAAAAGAACTAATTCTGGAGGATATGCCTGATTTGATAGAGTGGTCGGGTTTAATGTGCCACGATTCATCACATTCATTGGTCAAGATATTCCCTTCTTTGGAGATTTTAAAAGTCCAAAACTGTCCAGAAATGATAAGCCTGCCAGATGGTGTTTGGCACAACCTTAGATGCATTAAAGAACTGTGTATTTCGGGATGCGATAGTTTAAGTCATCTACCAAAGGACGTTGGAGGATTGGTATCTCTTGAGATTCTAACAGTAGTGAATTGCCCCAATCTTGTTTCCATTCCAGATATTCATTCCCTACGATCTCTAGTTGTGCTGAATCTTGCGGGATGCGACAACTTGCGCTCTCTACCAAGTGGAATGGAAGTCTGTACATCAATCAGGCTTTTTACATTAGTGAAGTGCCCTGCTATTCAACCTGAGGATTTGCATCCTCTGTCGAGGATGACTCAACTACAAGCATTGGCGCTAGGTGATTTCTCTCATGATCTTGATTATTTCCCCTGGCCCAGCTACACCATTAATCCTTGCAGAGTTACTATTACCGATAATGAGAACAAAGAATTCCAACATCCTTTTGCCTCGTTGCAGTCTCTTGGATTATATGGTTGGCAAGCAGTCACATCTTTGCCGGAGCAGATTCAGCATCTCTCCAACTTGGCCTTTTTAACGATACATAATTTTGACGGGATTGTGGCTCTGCCAGAGTTCTTGGGTAGCATCCATTCACTCGAAGAACTGGACATTGAAGACTGCAAAAATCTGTTGCATTTGCCTTCTGCTGAGGCAATGCGTCGCCTCACCAAATTAAGGAAATTGACAATTGAACATTGTCCACTTCTCAAGGACAGATGCAAGGAAGAGATCGGCCAAGAATGGGACAAGATTGCTCATATTCCAGAATTTCAGCTGCTGCCATGAACATGTGCAATGCATCGCCTCATCTTACTTTGCTTAATACAGCAACTACATGCACGTAAGTTTCAGTTCAATGCTGTTTTTGTGCCTACGTTATATGAAAGTTTCCTAGATATAAGTCTCCCTTTTGTATTTCTTGCTGAATTATTGAAAGTCTTCTGACGATATCCATGGCTACTCCAAGCTCTTCTAAAAGTGATTTCCTTACTCTCCACTCTGTTATAGATTGCTTTTAATAAGACTAAAGGTAGAATTTACAACTAATGTATAGATAATACATTAAACCGCATATATGAATACTATCCACCCCTTCATCACGAACTTAGTATCACATCTAATGCTGTATTTTCCATTATGATATACCACATACTGGTTCATTACATGTCCCTGCACCCTGCTCTAGAAAGAAGTAAAGCCATATAATAAGATATAATATTGAATAAATCCATGACAGACTATTTCAAAGCAAAGATGTGCCAACCTTGAGATTCATATATGTGAGAGCTTCATTTTGCTTTATTATTTCTCTGCACATACCTCTTCTTTTGTGCATGTGTCAATGAACCATATCAACTTTATCTCTTCCTGTTTTCAGATGATTAGACGATGTGCACAAGTTAATCTAGAAGTTCACAGTAAAGGAATTGACATGTATGGTAGGATTGGCTGCTGCTTTTCCTCATATGGATCCATGTTAATTACCATATATAATTAGCAATTCCCTGAGCAATTTTTTGCTTTGTGCTCTGAAACTGAACCTTACAAAGCTTGATTTCTCCAGAAGAACCTGATTCTCGAGTGCATTATGTTTGTAAATTCTTTATTCTTGGATGATTTTGCTACTTGCTAAAAGCTATAACAAACACTGAAACTTTCTTTTCCAGCACCAGCAAGGGCAGAAAGCACATCTCCAAGACGATAAGATTGTTGTATTTTGTCTCTTGGACCTCTCTTGATGCCGGTCAGTTGGATTCCTGGTGCAAGTGTTGCTGCTTCTATCTGCCTCTCTTCTCTTCTTGGGATTCTTTGTTTTTCGTTTCTTACTTCTTTAATAGTACTTTCTCATTTCCTTTTCCTTATTTTGTATTCTATATTAGTTCTTCTTGAATTTGTATCCTATATTGGTGTTTCTTGAATGTTACATATTATATCTTGGTCATGTTTCCCTTTCTTTTGATTATTGTTTTCCCCTATCTTTTTCTTATTTTTGTCTATCATGATATGATATACACAGTAGATGGAATTGAAAATTTTGCTTTAAGAGGGGCACCTTTCAATTTCATGCACATGAGAACTTTGAAGTTTAAGACAAAAGTTTTTTGAACATTTTTGTGGGGGCGAAAAGTTTAATTCATAGAAGAAATCTTTTAAATAATGTAAAAAAATACTGTCTATAATCGGATCAAACCACACACAACCTAACTGCATTAGATCCCTCTATGTCCATTGCCTAAAGATCACTTTAAAACTTCAGAAATGGCCCATAAATATGTTGGAAACTTTTCAAAATTTGTATGATGTACATACATGTAATTAATGTATATTCATTAATTTTTGGTACATGTATAGTATTGTGAATGATTCTAAAATGTACATTCATTTATGAATGTATTCATGTATATGTGAATTATTGAATGAAAGGATAGATTCATGTTTTGATCTAATGATCATGAGATGCATGAATTAAAGTGCATGAATGTGTACACAATACTTTGAATCTATTCATACACAATACTTTGAATCTATTCATACAAGTGTTTAATGAGGTCTTTTGTTTTCCAAACAAATCTTCCTATATAAAGAGGTCAAGTAGAGAGTGATTTGCTGCAGAAAATCACTTTCCTACTATCATTACTCTCTCAAAAGCACTCCTTAGTTCACAAAGGGTTTGTCTTGCTTTGTGCAAGAGTTTAAGACAAACAAAACTTCATCTTATCCTAAAGGATATTTGTCCAAGGTTATTGCACTTTATATCGGACAAATAAAGCCTAAAGGAAAGTGATTTCTATCACGATTTGAAGCCAATTCTAGTCACAATATTTGCCAATTCTTTGCTTTTTACCCAACAATCTTTAGGCTTTATTTATACTCTACAATGGCTGGTACCTTGAAAGATTTGGCATCCAATATTGTCAAGCTCGAGAGGTTTGATGGAGGGAATTTCATTCGTTGGCAAAAACGTGTTCGTTTCCTTCTCACTGCACTCAAAGTGGTCTATGTTTTGACCACACCAAAACCATTGATCAATCCCGATGAAGAAACTCTTGAAGACATCCGAAACCGTCAGAAATGGGAGAACGACGATGAAATATGCCGTGGTCACATCCTCAATACCATGAGTGACAACCTGTTCGATGTCTACCATTCAATTGCTACCGCCAAGGAACTTTGGGATCGATTGGAGTCCAAGTACATGCAAGAAGATGCTACAAGTAAGAAGTTTCTTGTCTCGTCTTTTAATAATTATAAAATGGTAGATAATAAGTCTGTTATGGAGCAATTTAGTGAGATTGAAAGGCTTCTTAATCACTTCACACAACACAATCTACACATGGATGAAGCCATTATTGTTTGCTCTATAATAGATAAGTTACCACCTTCTTGGAAAGATTTCAAAAGAGATCTCAAACATAAGAAAGAGGATATCTCTCTTGAGATTCTTGCTAAATCTCTTCGAGTAGAAGAGGAAATTCGCATGCAAGAAAAGAAGGATAGTCAAATCCTTGAAGAGAACAAAGATTCTACTTCAAAAGTGCATGTGATTGAAGAGAGGCAAACTGAAAAGTCTCAAGGAAGCAAGAAGGGCCAACAACCCAAGAATCAATCCAAGAAAAGAAAGAAGGGACAGTGCTTCTATTGCAAGAAAGAGGGACACTACAAGTCCGAGTGCAAGATTCTTCAAAACAAGAAGAAGAAGCAAGAGTCTTCCCAAAACACAAGCAAAAATCTTGTAGCAATGATATCTGAAATCAATATGATTGAAGATGATTTTGCTTGGTGGGTTGATTCTGGAGCTACGCGACACGTGTGCAACAATAGAACGTTCTTCAAGTCCATGAAACCGGTGGATGAAAGCACCGTTGTTTACATGGGAAATTCTGCTACAATTCCGGTTCAAGGCATTGGAGAAGTAGAATTAAAATTTACTTCCGGAAATGTTGTAACCTTGACAAATGTGTTTTATGTACCGGAAGTTAGGAAGAACTTGGTGTCAGCTGGGCTGTTAAATAAATTTGGCTTTAGACTTGTGTTTGAGTCTGACAAATTTATTTTGTCTAAAGGTGGTATGTTTGTAGGCAAGGGTTATCTTTGCAATGGGATGTTTAAGTTGAATGTACTTGCTATTAGAAATAATAAGAGTGATATTATTTCTGCGTACTTGGTTGAGTCTTCTTTTGAATTGTGGCATAATAGGATTGGTCATGTTAATTACAAAAGAATGCATGAAATGATGAGACTTGATTTGCTGCCATATTGTGATAAGATTGAAGGAAAATGCAATACATGCATGCTAACGAAAATCACAAGAAATTCGTTTCCTAAAGTTGAAAGATCATCTAAAATCTTGGATCTCATTCATAGTGATGTATGTGATTTGCATGGAACTCCTACTTTGGGTGGTAAAAAGTACTTTGTGACTTTTATTGATGATTATAGTAGATACTGTCATGTTTTCTTGTTACACTCAAAAGGTGAAGCTTTGCAAAAATTTAAGGCATACAAATCAGAAGTTGAACTTCATTGTGAATCCTTTATCAAATGTCTAAGGACAGATAGAGGTGGGGAATATTATGATATTACCTATTTTGAGTCTGTTGGGATAAAACATGAGGTGACTGCTCCTTACACACCACAACAAAATGGTGTAGCCGAAAGGAAAAATCGTGTATTGACAGAAATGGTTAATGCACTTTTGTCAAAATCTGGTTTAAGTCAAGGATTTTGGGGTGAAGCCTTGTTAACGGCTTGTCATATCCTAAATAGAGTTCCTAATAAAAGGAGTTCTATAACCCCTTATGAATTTTGGAATAAAAGGAAGCCCAACCTAAACTATTTGAAAGTTTGGGGTTGTAGAGCTGTTGTAAAACTCCCAGAATCTCAAAAAAGGAAATTGGGAGAAAGAGGTGTGGAGTGTATATTCTTAGGATATGCACAAAATAGCAAAGCATATAGATTCATGGTAATTGAACCTAATGATTCAATTTCGGTTAATACCATAATTGAGTCTAGAGATGCTATTTTTGAAGAGAATAGGTTCACCTCTATAAAAGATGTTATTCCAAAATCAAGTGAATTGACAAAAGATGGTGTATATGAAACCATTGAATTGAGAAGGAGCAAAAGAGCTAGAAAGTCAAAAGACTTCGGTTCGGACTTTTATATGTATCTAGTTGAAGGAACTAGAGATACAGTGAGCAACCAAATCTCATATTGCTTCAATATTGGGGCTGATCCCAAGACCTATGAAGAAGCAATGAACTCACAAGATGCTCCCTTTTGGAAGGAAGCTATTAATGATGAGATGGACTCAATCATGGGTAATAAAACCTGGAAATTAGTAGACTTACCACCTGGTTCAAAACCAATTGGTTGTAAGTGGATCTTCAAGAAGAAAATGAAGATCGACGGAACTATTGATAAGTTCAAGGCCAGGTTGGTTGCCAAAGGGTTCACACAAAAGTATGGTGTGGACTATTTTGACACATATTCACCAGTAGCTAGAATTGCTACAATTAGAGTGCTACTTGCTATAGCTTCTATCCAAAATCTAGTCATTCACCAAATGGATGTTAAAACAGCATTCTTGAATGGTGATTTGGATGAAGAAGTATATATGGAGCAACCCGAAGGGTTTGTGATACCTGGTCAACAGCATAAGGTGTGTAAACTTGTCAAGTCTTTATATGGACTAAAACAAGCACCGAAACAATGGCATCAGAAATTTGACCAAGTTATTCTTGCTAGTGGGTTCAAAATAAATGAATCTGATAAATGTATTTATAGCAAGTTTGATGATGGCAAAGGTGTCATAATTTGTTTATATGTTGATGACATGTTGATTTTTGGGACTGACTTGGAACAAGTTGAAGTCACAAAAACTTTGCTTTCAAGCAAATTTGACATGAAAGACATGGGTGAGGCAGATGTCATTCTTGGTATGAGAATCTTCAAACATGATAACAATATAATGTTGTCTCAAACACATTATATTGAAAAGATTCTTAACAAATTCAATCAAAGTGATTGTATTCCAGCCTCAACACCATTGGATCCCAAAATAAATTTTGTGAAAAATGAGGGGGATCCAAAATCTCAAATGGAATATGCCAAGATTATAGGGTGTTTAATGTATGCAATGACTTGTACTAGACCTGATATTGCATATGCAGTTGGTATATTGAGCAGATATACAAGCAACCCTAGTAGGTTACATTGGCAAGGTGTAACCAGAATTTTAAAGTATTTAAAAGCCACTAAGGACTATGGTATATGTTATACCGGTTATCCTTCAGTTCTAGAAGGATTTTCAGATGCTAGTTGGATCACCAATAAAGATGATCACTCGTCGACAAGTGGTTGGATCTTTATGCTTGGTGGAGGTGCAATTTCTTGGGGTTCTAAGAAACAGACTTGTATCACCGATTCAACAATGGCAGCAGAGTTTGTAGCACTTGCTTCGGCCTGTAAAGAAGCTGAATGGCTACGTAATTTACTTTGTGATATACCATTGTGGCCAACACCTTTGTCGCCTATCTCAATTCATTGTGATAGTGCAGCTACACTTGCTAAAGCTTATAGTCAAGTGTATAATGGTAAATCAAGACATATCGGTTTGAGACATAGTTATGTCAAAGATTTGATTACAAATGGAGTCATATCAATTGACTTTGTGAGATCAAATGAAAATTTGAGTGATCCTTTGACAAAAGGGTTATCAAGAAATTTGGTGTCAAATACATCAAGGGGGATGGGTTTAAAGTCCAAAATTCTTGATCACTAATGGTGGAACCTCAATTCAACGCTAGATACAACGTCTAGTCTTGAATTCAATGAGTGAAAGTACACCATTCTAGTGGTTGGTGCACTATGTGAAGTTTAGACATCCCAATGTTGAATAGTGCATGTTATTCTCGCCAGTGCAAATGTAAGGATGAGTCATTGGACTCTTAACGAATCTTA